CTGGGGGCCCACCCTCCGGGAGCCAGCAGGCAGGAAGCTAGCCAGCCAGAAGGCTGGCGCTCCCCACCCGCAGCTCCCTGTGCGCCGGAAGGGAGGTGGCAACTATTAAAACACACTATAATTACATTTATGCAACTAAATTTTCCCCATGTATAACTAAAGATAATGAGTTTTTGGAAAGGGTAATACTTTTCAATATAACCTTTTTTCAACATTCTACTGTGAGCTGAAATGAGAATTGGCTGAATATATATGAGTATTTCTGTCATCTTTTCTTACTGAAAAACTTTTTAGACACAACACCTGAGGCATTACACAAAGAAACACATTATTTTTAAATAATCTGACATGGTCAAATATGAGTTAAATCTAGACTCACTTTATGTAAGGGATTATTTTGGTGGATTAAAAAGTACTTTAAAATAGAATCCAAAGTATTTAAATCCTGATTACATAACTGTGCACATTCCTAATGCATTAAAACACTCTGAAGTAACAGCACCAGGCTGCAATACTATAAAATTTAAATATTTAAAAATAAAAGTTCACATTTAAGATTAAAATATTTCCCAATCACTAAATTAGGCACAACATTTTTAAAGATCATATTTTTTACAGGTGTAGATGTAAAAATTCTGTGAAAGATGTAAAAATTATTTTTAAGTCAAGCTTTTGTGTTTCCAAAGCATAGTCAAGAGGAGTAGATCAATTTTTATGTAGGTTTCTGTTTTACAGTTTTACTTCTGCTTTTTTCAAAACAATTTTATGGAAGAATCTAAATATTTATAAAAAGAGAAATTCTGCTACCAGAACATCTGAAATGCTGATCAAGTTTCATGGGAATGACAAAGCAAATAAGCATGCTGTTTTATTTTAAAAATTACTTAGCAATAACCTCTTAATTTCATGTCTTCTATAAAGGTTCACTGTTTACTTGGTAAAGTTTAGCAGAGCTTTAGGAATCTAGTTTTAGTATTAGAAAAGATAACTGGTTAAAGGCATAATTTCATTAATAAGGGATTAGAAACAAAGACTTTCAGATACAGTTTTACAAAGTATTGATTCTCCTGTAGATGAAAATCACAGTGATGAATGGTGGACTGGGTAAGATCCGGCACTGGGTAAGAGTAATGTGTTGATCTTGATTCTCTAGTTTTGATACTGTATTACAGCTAAATGAGGTATCACCAATGGGAAAGCTGGGGGAGGGGTATATAGGATTCCTTACAATATTTTTACAAATTCCCGTGAGTCTATAATTGTTTCAAAATAAAAAATTAAAAATAAAAACCAACCTTAATGGATATGGATATTACAGGCTGACTGGATCACATTTAAAAGTTCTCCCTGATAGTCTAAACACATCATTCTTTATTTAAATGATGCCTGTTAAAAATATAGCTACTTTTTTAAACCCAATAACTGAAGGCATTCAACTGTTAAAATAGGTAAATAAAAAATAATTAGAAGTTGAAGGGGCTTTGTAAACATTCTGTACATTTCTTTGCCTCAGTTGTGTTATTAAATGAAATCAATCATTGGGAGTTACTGCTATATGAAGAGAAAGTGTTGCAGGAATGAGTGCCTCTATTTATGAGGTAAAAGAAGACACGCTCTTGAACGATGACACTGGAAATTGCACTTACACTTACCTTCCATATTGTGGGCAAATAAGTACTGGGAAAATAAGTACTGTGCACATAAATATTCTTATAAGACCCAGTTTTATACGTTCATTAGAAAAAAATTTGAGGAGTTATATAACCATGTGCGTTCTCCCAACTAACTTCCGTATTTGATAATTATAGTACGGGAGGTCTTTGAGTAATCTTGGTGAGTTAGGAGCTGATCATCAGAATATACCATGAGTAGGCAGTATTCTTGTGGGATCCCTTGGGGAAAGAAGGAGGCTGTTTCCTTGTACACAATGTTAATGAGGTGTTGAAGGTCATTTGTGGGGATTCCTAACCCTCAGGCAGCATCTAGGTTCACCTTTCTCTTCAGCTTTAAAAATCCTAATGGTTTAAAAACGTGATAGGCTTACATCTGTTCTGCCATCCTTTAGAATGCAGTATTATTTAACAGTATTAGTCATTCCACCTTACACACATTAGGAGGGTCCAGTCAGCTTTAAAAGCCCTTTCTCCTGCTTTATCTGAGCATAGTGTGGAGCAGGAATTGACAGGGGGTTGTTCTGCTCCAGAGTCAACCGAAGGTCGATGATTCTCTTCACTTTTCACCTGGAAGCCCTGAACCAAACATCTAATCATCCCACTGCCAAAAGAAATAGAACAGAAACAAGTGGGCCCTCATATTCTAAAACTGTATTACCCTGTTTTGAAGTCTTATTTAACAGCACACTCAGAGCTGCTATCACATTTAATTAAAATTAAGCAGCTCCTGTGAAAACAATGAGTAAGGCACATTCTTGCATTTAACTCCTTTTCATTTCTTAAACTGGCAGCTCTCTCTCATTAAGTTCAGCTATCATCAGTACTTCATCCATCTTCAATGAGTCAGGACAAATTAGTAAGGTTAACTTTGGATTATGTGATCTAAAAGATGGAAACTTGGTTTCTCCTACTCAAGAGCAGCTTTCTGATTAATCTAACTTGTTCCTGCAACTCACATAGGGAGCAGATCAATTTAATTCTTTTACAGAATTAGAAAGGGAATATCTTTAGATATTTGCCTCTTGGAAAATTATTTTATCTTAAGGTTGCACTCTTACCCTTTGTGGAGAGCTCAGACAAGATTTGGAAATGAAGAAGTTTTGTGAAATAAAGTTGTTTCGCCTTGCAAAGACAACTGCGTGCTTCCATTACGTGATCTGAGTCCTCATAATACCTTGATACTGGATGCTTCATCCTTATGCTGAGAATTTCCATGGCTGTGCGTTTCAGGCACAATTTTAAACCTTTCAAAATGTAGTTGCTCTCTTTGATATGAATGTGCCATATTCTCTGATGTAGGCTCATAGGTCCAACTAACTGAAAGCCTCAATTTGTGGGAAGAAGAAAAGCGAGGCTGGGGACACAGCACAAACGGTGTTTACGCCACTGAAGTTCTTTTGAAATGGAAAGGCTCTGCATGAAGAAGCGAACAGTTATGCCACTGCCTCGCCAATTCCAGTGAGGAGCTCATCTTCAATGTAGTGTTCAACGTAGGTGGCAAAACTGTAATTTTTCCCTTTTTTGAAACTATTTTTTCTTCTTTTATTTTTGAAATTCTCATCTAAGCGACAGTTTCTTGTACTATAGTGACTCCTGCTGGGAGAGGTAAGTTGAAGTAGCTGAAGGTCTCTTACAGATATATCAACTCCCGGCCAGTAAAAAAGATGTCCTAAACGCAGGAGATGGAGTTAAACTGTTCCCCTACCTTGGACGCAATGGCTTCTTTCATCACTAAGAACAAACCCCTAGGTTTTACAATTGAGACTGAGAAACTAGTACAGTACTTGTACAATTTTTGATCTACAGCATCACGACGTGAAGCTGCAACAATTAGATGTAAAGGGTCCATTCATGAGGAATAACATCACTTTGACCCTTTGTGTTAGCTCCTACTGCTAATCTTTCCATAAGCGTGAACTTACTTTCAATTTGAAGAAGATGAAAAAGTCTTTTGCAAAACCCCAATACTGTTTTCTGATCTATGTACCTGAATGGAGAAACGTAGTCTTACCTCGTTTTTTTCCACTACAAGCCAAGCTACTTGTAATCCTTCCAAACCTTTAAAGGGGACCTCCCTTGTTAGCATCTCCCAGAGAACCTGGAACAAAAAGAAAATGGAATTTTTATTCTTATACTTTATATTTTTGTTACATTACTGAAACTTTATCTAACATTTAATTGTATCCAATTACCAGGCACAACCAACCCCATCTATAGAAACTTGGACAAAATCTAAATGTTTATAATCTCACATAGGACTTCCTTCATATTTTATGTACTTTTTATGTTCTTTTTTATAAAGAAAAAACGGAATTTAGAAGAGTCAGACTTAAAATTTTATGAAATCAATGAGCCTGAGTGATTTAACTTTATCTTATATGAGTTACTGGGATTTTCACATATTCCCACAAATCAGATTTTGTATTTTCTAACATAAAACTCATTCTACCTTCAACCTCTGGTACATTTCTCTATCAGAGAATAATAGGGAATTAAAAAATATTAAAGGTTTAATAATAAAATTATAACAAAAACAAGACTCCAATCTAAATCACCGGCAAAACCACTTACTTTACAATGGTAGATCTTTGTAAAATTACAACATTTAAGATTTTGTGTTTTGTTTTGTTTTTTATTTCAAAAATAAAAGAAAAAAACATATTAACAAACAGACATCCATTCAGATTTTGTATTCTGGATAAATTTCTCTCAAAATTAATCAAAATAAGGAATCTCCTTTCATCCACCTATAACTTATACCATATTCTAAAATGTAATACATGTTTTATGTACACATAAGCTGTGTGCATGTGAGTTTATGGGTGTATTAATCTCTGCAACCCTTGAGATACACACGACTAACAAATCTTAACAGGAATACCCAAAGCAAGCAAATTGGTGCAAGGAATGCTGCTGATTTTGGTTTTTCTTTAACACTGAGTAGTGAAGATTTGGACACTTAGTTACTTTCTCTATTTATACAAATGGACACCCGAAATTTGAGTCTACTAATACTTTGTAAAGTACAAAAACAATGTTAACTTTATCAGTAATAACAACCACTATCATTTATTGAGTGCTTACTATGTTTTAGGTACCCTTTATCTGTGTCATCATGATCAATGTCAATCTTCTCGCGTAGGTATTATCCTCATGTTATACGTGAGGAAACTAGGATTTTGGAAAGTTAAATAAACTTGCCTCAAGACATTTACCTAGCAAGTGACAGGCTAGAATCTGATAGGCAGTCTCACCATGAAGGCCAAGTTCTAATCCCATCCCACGTAATTCCAGGGAAGGGGTAGCTGCAGTGGTAGAGAGAATGCACATTGCCATGTTGTATGTACTGAGCCATGGCAGAAGAAAAAAGAGACTCAGAAGTTTGGGCTTAAGATTTCTCTTGTTCAAAACACAAAAGTCTATTTCTCAATGAGAATGTAAATGGAGGACGTGTACTCTATTCAAACAAGTCCTGTAAACCTTGATCCACTATTTCCGCAGCTAGCACTCAGTCTTATTTGAGCTATAACATGTTAAATGAATGCTAGCTAATATGAAGATAATTAGCAGGTAAATCAGGGAAATTGGCAGATGCTGCTCAAGCTGGAGGGAAAAAAAAAATCACTGAAGCCTCTTTGGGCTTTTAATCAAGTGTGTAAGGTACTTCTTTCGAAGAGCTACTGAATAATTCTATCTGAGTCACACAAGTGATTAGGAAAAGGTAAGGGGCACCCCAGAAGGGGACAATTCGAGTGATAGCTGTAAGGGAAGGGTGACAGCCAGCATAGGTATGCAATCACCCTGATACACGCCTGCGCCAGAGAGGCGGCAGCAAGAGGGCTGAGCAGGAAATGAAGCCCCTCAATTTGCCGCAATTACCCCTCCACTGGCACTGGGGATGGGGAAAAGGACATGAAGAGCAAGTAAATGGATGGATTTGGCATTCCTATGGAGAGAGGGAAGAGAGAATCAGCTCAAACAAATCAATTGCTCCAGACTGCAAAATGTTCAGACGAGCAGCCTCACACCTCCCTCTTTCTCAGTTTGGCCTATGCATCATTACACTAAATGCATATGTGCGCGCGCGCGCACACACACACACACACACACACACACACACACACACACACACTGAGAAAATAGCACCAGAAAACGAGTAATTTTCACTCTTTATTACAAAATACTGTGGGAAAATGTCCAAAACCTAGTAAGATTTGAGTTCTAACCCTGACAAAAATGACATTTTTACTCCCTCTCTGTGTCCTGAAGAGCCACCACAGCCAATGGTGGCATTTGATGAGGGCAAAACCATGGGGACAGAGGTATTAATCCCCACAAACCATCACGTTTTGAAGGCCACCCAAAGCCTACAGTTTGGTTCCAGTAGCAGGACATCTCATTGTTTCCTTTTATTAATGCTCCAGATTCAGGAATGCACCAAAAAGTAGGTAAGATGAAATAGGATAGCTTTTTATACACTCAACAAAATGACAATTGGCACACAAAAACCTCTGTTAAAGAATTTTGTTGAAAAAATCACTGGAGGTCTAAAAATGTATTAAATGGTGCCCTAAAATACCACTTAGGAGGATGCAAGTCAAACATTATTGTGATCTTATACCTTAAAAATATTTTCCAACTCATTGTATATTGAGACATTCTCCTAGTTAAACTGTGCTCACAAGGAAAATTCCTATTTTCAGTTTACAGAACAGAAACTTGGACGAGGCTGTGTACTTCTGCCTTTTCTCTTACACACAATAGAAAGCCATGACCTGAGCCTGGCCGGTTCTGGAACGTGGCTCACAGACAAGTGCACAGTGAGGCTTTCTCTTAAGCTACTTGGTTTTCAAAGCTGGTCTTGGCTAAGAAACTCCTAGGAAGGTAATCCTGTCTGCATTGTCATTAGGGTAGCTTTGTTTTTAGAGAGTGACGAGGACTTGTGTTCTTGGAAGACTTATTCTTTCAATGACTTTTGCTCTCCTGAAGTCCTTTCTTCTTCTGCAGATTACACACCAAATATACTTTCTGGTTTGGTCTTTCAAGAGAAGTTATCCTAAGAGGGTAAAAAAATCTCCTTTCTTATAAAAAGAACAGAGGAACAATTATCTGCCTAGCAATGTTTACCCCCTTAGAAACAAGGATCACAGAATCCATTTCTGGCACTGGCAGCATGTTTGCTTTAAGGTAGTACAAGGCAAGACAGTCTTACCATGTGCTAGGAAGCAACATGCACCTACGAAGCTGGGGAGGGCTAGTACTCTTTAGAAGAGGTTAAATCCTCATAGCAAGTCTGAAAAAGCATGGAAGAATAACAAGCAAAAATACACTGTATATTCTGAGTGGGCCTCAAAAACAGACAACTTTTTGGAGCCTTATTCATGGATGTGTGACTACTGTATAAGGGGGGGAAGTTTCAATCAACAGAATAAGCTTTTAATGAACTATGGGTGCAAAGAGATGCTCCCGCTGACAGAGTCCTGGCTATGGACCTCTTTTTGAAAGGACATCAAAAAGTCTGAGTCACCACATTATTTTCTTACATAGGTATCATTTTCAGTGTTTGTGGACCACAAACTTCCAAAATGAACATGGTCCAAATTTTAACAACTGTCCTCTCTGGCTCTTTCATTTAATGTCTACTCTGAATACATAATGCTTTCATTACAAAAAAAAAAAAAAAAAAAGTGTGATTATCTAAAACAAATGGTTCTGGAAATTATGCCTTGTACATTTTCTTTCATTAATAATTATTATTTGGACCAAATGAAAGGAGGAGCTAGAATCAAACACAATCTGAATTCTTGTTTATAATTAAATTAGCATCCATACACTTTTCTGAATGGAATTCTGCAGATAGAGCTTGGTGCCTGTGGCAAACCAGTATTCTGAGCAAACTTTCACTTCAAACTGACAAATAGCAGACGCTGTTTTAAAACTGAGTCACTGAACAGGCATTTCTGTTTCCATCAGTTAAGGGAAGGTACTAGCATGAAGGCAGAATTGATACTGACACACTCCTGTCCTATGGCTGGGGCACATAGGTTCTGTCCAGCAATATCTGGTTTGTAAATATTGCTTCAGCCAAGTAAACGACTTGACAGAATGATTAATTAGGTATTTGTTAAATCCCTCCCACAGTAAAACTAAATCAAACCAAGCAAAGCTGGGGTGAGTAAGCAAGAAGACAGAAGCCCTTAATGTGCGAACAGACATGCCCAGACCCTTCTCCTGAAAAGTGGTGCATAGCTGCTTAGGTGAAAGGTTTTCACAATACAGTAAATAACATTTGTAACTCCAGAAAGAAAGACTCAGATTGTAAGAAAGCAAAGTCAAAGTGGGAAAGGTACTGTAGAGAAACAAGAAAGATCCTAAGATTCGATCCTCACCTCTCAACATCTTTAACAGTTTCTTTTTTTAAGGCCTTTGCTCTTGGTTACTGGTACTAAAATTGTACTTCAGCTAAGGAAAAGCAGATGAGTACATTTTATACCAAAATTCCTGGCAACTGGAAGGCTTTGAAAGAAAGTGCCCTGCAGTTTGTTTTGACAAATGAAATAATACCATGACCAAAGGTTTCTTCTATACATAACTCACAATAATATCTTTAGGTCAAAAATTTCTAATAGGGAAATTCCAAGACTTAGGAAGAATTTTCAAAATAAAAGTACTGTATGGGCTCAGAGTATAAAATGAGCCTTTAAAATTTTCCAATTCATATAACAGGAAAACAATTTAAATATTGTGACCACCTGAATATATTTATATGCTTTTCTATACACATGCACATAACAGGAGTCAGCTGGTCTTCTGCTCAACCACTGAGAAAGCGAGCTGGAACTTGAGACGCCAGCTGTGTTCTCAGCCTTGCTGCTTATTCCTTCCTGAGCCCTCTTGTTCCACAGGGGTCTGCAAAGGAAACCTGCTGCCAAGCAGAGCAGTTTAAAGGGTTAAAAAAAAGACAACTAGGCAACAGAGAATGTAATCGGCCCTCAAAGCCAAAAACATGTACTGTCTGGCCCTTTACAAAAAACGTTTGCTGGCTCCTGTTCTGTAGCAAAGAGAGATATCAGTGCCAACAAGCAGGCTACTCCGAATCTAAATTATCCTAAGTTGGAGTCTAGTACAGTGCCTAATTCAATCTATATATACATACGTACAAATATATGAATATTTCTTTTTGCTTAAAAGTGAAGGGATACAACTTTATAAGAGAAAGATTTCACAAGGCCTTAAATTTCGAGTGTCCCATTTTCAGAATCCTAGAATATAATGTTTAATGATTAAAATGTGGTATCTTTTGACTCAGGAGACCAGTTTTAGAATCTGGTTTTCTATAGAACTTTTTTTTTCTTTCAGTGAGAATTATTTTAACACTATTTGTAATGATATATAATTTTCATTCTTAGAAATACTCAGTTAAGGGGAATTAGATATTTTGCCTGATATTACTGCTATCTTCCAACCTTTAAAATTCTAGGCATTAGCCAAAGCATGTATTTCATTCTTGAAATGATTTTGTTCAATAGCCAACAAAATATATCTCTAGTACAGTAGTTTGGTGTACACAGAATGTGCTATAACTTAGAAAGAGGTGGCCTGCTAAAAGAACCCTAGAACTCATAAACCCAGCAGAAAATACCCAGAGACTGACTAAACAACAGTAACATGTTTGACCATGCTGATTTCCTCTCGAGCTCCAGCCAGCACCTTCAGCAAGAACATGCACAAGTCCAGGAAGGACAGCACGCTGATCTGGGCTCCAGCTGGTCTGCCCCTGTGTTCCTCTTCCTGTAAATGTCCTTTTATGACATAATGTTGTAAAGAGAAAAACAGTATACCTGGCATAAAGGGAGACACACAAAGAAAGACTGTTCCAGATATTGTTTTGAATTGTTTAAAGGATATAATGCACTTTAGGGAAAAAACTTATCCTCAGAGAAAGGCACCAAATGAATTCCTTTCTCCAGCAAGAACTGCCTGACCTCTGGCTTCTTTCTCCCTGACAGTATAGGGAGAATGTCTTTCTCCAGGATGACTCATCTCCACTCTCAAAGAAGCTTCAGCTCCTGAATGGTTTCCTTCCTGCAGTCTCCAATCCTTGAGCATCCTCCCTTACTCCTGTATGACTCTATTCTTCCATGCTTCTCAGCTGCCATTCTCACGTAGTGCTTCATACTTTTACTTAAGATAGTGGCTACTACGTCCTAAGACTTACGGCAAACCTGAGCAAGGCCATCTCCTAAGTGTATGTTTTCTTCTATACTTTTAGAAAGTCACTCATCAGTTTACTAGTTGACACTCAAGTTTCCCGTTAATTAGTTCATGTGACAGATCTACTGGTGGTTTTATACAGTTTAAGCAACCCATCATAGTCAGGTCCTGTTTCAAAGGATCCATATGTCCACTGAGTTACAGACATACTCTACAGGCATGCTGTTACTCAGCCAAAAGGCACTGGACCACAGGGGTGCCCTGGACCTGCTAACTCAGGTCAGATCTAATCTTATTTCTTGGAAGTGGTATTGGTTTCTTTCCAGCACAGGATGAATGACTCAGATGCAGAATGATCAAAACACACATTCCAACAATTAGGATGTGCGCTCCTTGGGCCTCTGCTTCAGGTGGTCTTCTAGAAACAGCAGCACTGTCACACAAGGTTAAATTGTAGCATTACTCATGTCTAGGTTGTTTGTTCCTTGTATTTCCTTCAGCAATAGCAAGAAATGAGAAATGCACTCACCACACCGTAGGAGTATGTGTCACAAGTTTCAGATACAGGGAGACTCTGGATAACTTCTGGAGCCATCCATGGGAAAGTTCCGACCAACGACATGTGTGTTGTGTGGTTATGGAACCGGGAAGCACCAAAGTCGCAGATCTGAGAACAGGGAAACCAGGGTCAAGTTTCTCCCTGTTGACTAGTTAAGAAAATTGTCAGTCACAGAACTTACATCTGAAATTAACGATCTTTTAAATTAAAAGAAACAGATGGGAAAGGGACCAAGCGATGCTGGGAGTAGGGGCAGAAGGAAGAGGAGGGGGATGTAAGAAGAATTAAGATGTGTCATGTATAGGTACCAACTACCCACAATGAATGCATTCATTATGTATCTCAAACATGTACTAATAAACTAAAAAAAATAGTCCTACCTTCAATACTCCATCAGCAGCTATAACAACTAAAAGAGAAAAAAGATAAGTTATGACAATCATCTAACTTGTTTGAATAGTCTTATACTGAGGAAAGCATAACTTTCCTCTAGCTTTGATATGGTCAAATTTCCAATTTGATGTTATAAAAGGTAAATTCAAAGTGTTTACTGAATTGATTTTGCAAAAGGGAGCTAACATCAAAACCAAAGCTTAATTCTCCGAGGTGCTAATTAAATGCCTCCGAAGATACTTGATTTATATAATGTATTACTATCCGTTGAAAAAGGCATGAAATTAGAACCAAATTTTTACCTGGGTCCTGCCAGGAACACCTAAGATAAAACTGAGGAAGTTATTATCATTACTACATCATAGCTTATATTGTTTTTCTTCCCAATTGAAGAATAATTTTCTTAGAGACCATATTCATTCACTCACTTATTCATACATCCATTCATTTAACAACTATTTGCTAAGTACCTACTATGATCAAAGCCATGTAGATGCTCTAGAACAGAAAGGTGAGCAAGACTGGTACTGCTTCTGTTCTCATGTTTATGGCCAAATCAGAGAGACAATTAAATATCTACAATAAAGTGGGATAAATATCCATGACGAGAGAAAGTGAGAGTATTATGAATGCACAGGGAATCTGAGTTTAGGGAAGTCAGATGAAGTTTCCAGGAAGAAATGATGCTTATGCTAATAACTGAAAAGCTCAAAGTTAACCAGAAAGAAAAGAGCTGGGAAGGCAGAAGAAAGAGCCTATGCAAAAGCTCAAGAGCCATAGGAAAGGTGCAGCAACTCTGGAAGGTAAGGGCCAGGTCAGGAAGAGCCCTGGTGGGAAATGGAAAGCTCACAGCCAATCTTACATAGAGGAACGAACTGAGCAAGGGTGCAGAGGACAAGCTACATCAAGGAACAGAACGGAGGCAAAGAAAACACTAGGCACACAGTGGTTATGATCCAAGCAGTGAGGACATGGTATTAGGGCTGTGAGAAAGCACAGGAGAGAAGTGTGCTGAGCCTAGAAATTCCTAGGATGCAGGATTAGCTGGGCTTGATGAATAGCTGGATATAGGGGGCAAGGGTTTCAAAGGTAAATAAATTAAGAGGCAATATAGTTTAATGGTTAGAACCAGAGCTCTGAACTCAAACTGTCAATTTGTTTGTGTTTAATCTCTTGTGTTGGCAAATGGCATTGTCACTCATTGAGAAAAGAAAGGAAGGTATGGTTTTTTGAAGGAGGAGGGAGAAGAAAGACCAATTTAAACAGAATACATTCTGAGGACATACATGATGTCTGTGTGATTATACTGAACAAGCAGATACACAGTGTTGAAGCTGGGATTTGTTACTGTTAATAAGTAAGTGCAGCTCTCACGGGAGTAGGAGAATAAGAGCATAAGGGGAGAGGAGGCCAAGGATGGAACCCTGGAAAGGGCTTTTGGCATTTCGTTTGTAAGCCACTCAGTGCCTTCAACATGGCAGGTGATCAACTCAGTGCTTAGCAGCAGCTCTTCTTAATGACTCTGATAAATGGAGAAAATAATCTTCACATGGCCAAACATATATTATAGTAAAATGTAATGATATTACAAGTAATAAGCTATAAACTCGATAGAAGACTAAAAATACAAAACTACACACTGTGACCCAGCAAAACCTCTTTTAGAAAATTATTCTAGGGAAATAATTAGAGATGTATTGAAAAATTTGGCTGAAAGGTATTAAATCAAACATTTCTTATCATGGAAAATGCAAATATTGCTAATACTATATTCAACTGTCTTAAAAATAGCTCTACTGTTTTTTCGCATTATAAGATTAACAAATGCTCATTTTAAAAAATTATAAAAATATATAACATAGAAAATGAAAGTCCTGTTCTCTCTCCCAGGAAAAAAAATTACAGGGCTGGGGATTTAGCTCAGCGGCAAAAGCGCCTGCCTGGCAAGCGCAAGGTCGTGAGTTCGGTTCCCGGTACCAGAGAAAAAAAAAAAAAAGAAAAAGAAAAAAAATTACAAAAAATTAGGTCTATGCTATTTCAGTGTGAGTGTATGTATGTTCCCAGCAAGTCATAGTATAAATTTTAACATCATACATTATTATTTAAGTGTTTCTAATTATAGCATAAATAAATCCTCAATTTAGTTAATCATTATTCTCACATGAAAGATTAAGGACATAATGTAGTCCAGTAACTTTTTCATATTGGAATTCTGAACGTGAATTAAAAATTTTCACTCATGAAACTGATACTTATTAGATTCTAGATTATTTCCTAATGATTTACTGTTAGTCAACTATATATTAAAAGTGTTGCCTGGTGTACGACACATGACTGTAATACCCCCAGCACTGGGAAGGCTGAGGCAGGAGGATGACTGTGAGTTCAAGGCCAACCTGGGCTACATACTCAGTTCCAGGCCAGCGTGAACTGCATAGTGAGACCCTGTCTCAAAAACAAATAAACAAACAAAGTTTAGTTTCAAGAAGCCTCTCCGTCTAATAAGAGCCAAAGGACAAGTGATAACCTAGAAGAGAGCAAGACAAATCAGTGACAGTCAACTGGCAGGACTAAGTTGGGGGTCCAAGCCCCTCCTTTTCCTGCCTGCCCTTCCTGTTATCAGCTAGACACACACCCAGTGTTCCTCGCTCTGAGCACAGCTGTCTGATCTCTTCTACTTGCCAGTACTAACTATTCATTCTAGGGATCATCACAGGCAAATACCCATTGGAGGTGCAGTGACTGAAAGATTTTATAAAAATTAATAATTCTTCCTCTTCTTACTGAGAACTGCTTAGAAAGTATGGAGATAATTGACAGAAACATTTTTTTTTAAGTAGTAACCTCTTTATGTTTTCTTCAGCAAGTTCAGCTAACGCTAAATAACCCTACTGCCTTTCTCTGACACCTCTGAAATGAGATAATGGAAGTGGCACTCTGTTACCATCCCTAGGAAGGTAATGCCTAACCCTGTAAGTTATTTTAAAATGTTCACTCTCCAAATTATAAAATAAGGTCATAAATAAGCCACATGAAGTACACAAGGAGGGAAAGAAGTAAAAGAAAGGCTCTATCTTCCAAACCTCCAAGAATGCTGATTATTTCTGGGCATGACTCCAGGTAATATGGGCATGAGTGACACAAAATATTTACACCACATAATTCAGAAGTAATAGGAACAAAACTCAAAATTGCCAGTACACAGAACCACCTAAAAATAGAAGACTAAAAATACACGACTGCACACTTTGACCCAGCAAAACCTCTTTTAGAAAATGATTCTAGGGAAATAATTAGAGATGTGTTGAAAAATTTGGCTGAAAGGTATTAAGTCACACATTTCTTATCATAGAAAAAAATGTAAACAATCCAAATGTCCACATTCTGTGCTATATTTATACAATGGAACAGTATGCAGTTTCTTCAAGTAATATAGAGAATTTGGTATTTATTGATAGTGGAAAGATCGTTAAGATATCAGCAGTCAAACAACAAGTTACAAAGGGTATGTAAAGCATGATGCTTATTTCCATACATAGGTATATGGAATTTGTAACAAGTAGGTTAGGGTTAGAGTTAAGTAAAATAAAAATATATGACTACATTACCATTTCTTGACTTGAGATCTCTGTGAATCACCTTGACAGGAGCCTCCATATGTAAATAGTGCATTCCTTTTTGTACAAGAGGAGAAAAAGGCCTATTAATATTTTTCAACACTGCATTACTACTTTTAATATTTTTGCAAAGAATTTAATAGCAGAAACTAAGTCCATGTGTTTTATTCTTCAAGATTTATAAAACAAACAAACAAACAAACAGGATATGTCTACAGTAGTAACATTTACTTAAATAAAAACTGTAAGCTTTAATCTCTTGGAGGATGGAATTCGATTGTGGGCAAAGCTAGCTTCTTATAATACCTAACAAGGGCACCTGAATTTTCTACAGCCTGCATGAAAATAGCACAGTAACCAGTGGAAGAAATGCTCTGTGACTAAGGTATTCCACTACTGTCGCCGTCCATGAGAAGGGAAGGGGGGCTAAAAGTGCCCCCAAGGCATTCAACAATGCATAAAAGGAACAATTAAAGCAGATCAACCTGTATCCAGACTCCAATGGTCATCATTTCCCATGCCAAAGTCTTGCCCAAGGGGTGCAGCTCTTGTCTGGAGCCCATGATTACCCAGCTGCAGCTCGGTTTATTTTCTCAGTATTCACCCCATCACGACCTGGGAGTGAAGACAGGTGGGGAGAGGGGAGCTTGGAGTACTGCCTAGTTGTGGTTGATCAAGGATTTTATGATCTCAGAAAAACTATAGTAATTAAAAATATTTTATTCTTTTCACAAAGATAAATCTTAGAGATAATCTATATTTAAACAGACTCAAAAGTTTTCTTCAACATGTTTAATATAAATTAAGATACTTCATTACAACCTAAATAGAGTTTTATCATTTTGAATGAAAAAACTGTACTTCAAAAGACACATTTCATGTCTTAGTAGTGCTTGACTCTTGGTAGTGTTTAACTCTCTCTATGTGCTGTCTCCCCCTGAGAATAAAGAGAAAGAACATTTTCTAATGAACATTTCTTCTCCCTTTATTTTTCAAGTTCTCTTTTCTAAATAATGGAAGAAAAGTCCTTTCCCCCATCAAATGAAACAGGCTCCCTCTGTGAATGAACTATCCACTGAGAACAATTTAATAACTATGGTTTGGCTTTTTAAAGTATATAGGATATTTCAATTTTATAAAGGTTAATTTATTAATAATCTATTATTCTACTGCTCATGAAGAATCATGAAAGAACAAAAAAATAAAAAATTTAAACTCTTGCCATATAATAATATCAGTGAAAAGAGTTAACGAAAGTATTTAGTAATTTAAATGATCTAAAGCAAAATACAATTGGGATAAAGGGACTCTTTTTAATATGAAATTCTACCTACGTCAAAGTGTAAAAATTCAATAGCTTTACAACTTGGGTGGCACCTAATAACCTGCATTACTGAATTTCATAGTTTCTTCTCTCTTGTTTTAGACTCAAATTCCTGAACAATTTTTCAGGTTAAAATTGGTTTAATCACTATTAGACATACAGGTAGTTTCTACTCTTGCTAACAAGTAAGGATTTCAAAAAGCAACACTGAAGATAAAAGCTTAAAACACAGCCATTTTTCTTTGTCATGGCAGATTACAAGAAAAAGTACCATAAATTATTTGTGAATCGGGGCTGGGGATTTAGCTCAGTGGCAAAGTGCCTGCCTGGCAAGCGCAAGGTCGTGAGTTCCGTTCCCGGTACCGGAAAAAAAAAAAAAACCATGAACAATGTACAGTGTTTATTTAAATAATACTTGGTGTATACATTAACCCTGTAGTAATTACGACCATATACTATTGTTTAATTTTCTTTTATACAGCCATTTATAATTCTGCCCTCTTTTTATTGCAAATCATTAAGAAGATTGAGGGTTTTCTAAAGAAGATTTGACAGTGTCACCAAGGAGACTTTGGGGAGATTTGGAGTCGATGACCACTGGAGTCTGGATACAGGTTGATCTGCTTTAACTGTTCCTTTTATGCACTGGTGAACGCCTTGGGGGCACTTTTAGCCCCCCTTCCCTGTTCTTCCTACCCAGAATGAAGATAATCCTTTTAGCTTTGAGGACATGTTGTCTCAACAGCAGTGATGTTGAGCAATGCCTATTTCAAAATGCATGAGCCAACTCTTATTTGGCATGAATTATTCATTCTTTGATTTCTCAACATTGTTGCTTCAGTGGCTTCAATCTCAGTCAAACTGAGAAGTGCACAGCTGAATTTGAAACAGAATCGACAAAAGTCAAGTCTTCCTATTTAATCTCTAAGTTCTACACCTAGCTTTTTAGGAGAAGCTTGAAGTCATTCTGAAGCACTGATTTCTTTTCCTCTTTAAGGCCATCAAAAAGCGTTTTTAAATGTTACATAGTACTTATGGTTATATATAAATAAGCCTCTTCTCAGCAGAGGCCAAGCCATCGGTGCTTGCCTCAGATCAGTTCACCCACCAAGCAGAAGAGCTGTTATTACTTTGTAGTTTGGACTCTGTTCCAAAGGTCTGCTCCCATTGTCTCCTGCTCTGTCCTTTATCTGTGGTTCCAGTTTGCTGCTTACCCCTATTCCTTCTCCTCCCTTCTAATGCAGAGCGCTAGCACTCTCGAAAAACTCTGGAGAATGACGTATCTGTTCTGCAGCCAAGACACTTGGCCCTTAGACACAGCTGGAGTGGTGGGGTTGGGGTGTGTTACAGGGTCCCTGAAGTAGAGAACAAGAAGCCCAGCGTGATATCAGTGTGCTTGTTTGATGTCTATATCCTAATGCCATTAAGTAATAACATGGGTGTATTTTGCTGAGCACCCTAAATATGAAAGTCCGTAGGGTAAAGTGCCATGTGTCAAGAACTGCTTGTATATGCACTTACGTTGGAATAAATGTATTTACACACACACACACACACAAAAAATGTATTTACATAATGCTGCAGGCAGCCCCCACTAATAGCACACCATCTTGCTTATATACTTGCGGTCCTACGTACTACTGACATGCAGAGAGCTATGATGCTACATGAAAATAGCTTGAAGAATATGAAACTCAAGACTGATTTGAGATGCCTGACGCATGAATATACAATTACGTTCATTAGCATAACCAAAGCTTTAAGTATGCCAGCCTAAACACAGAGCTCATTATTCTTATAAGGTAATGAAGTATCATTCGGTAGCAGCACCGAGCATAAAACTTCAGAAAAGATTTTTTCTTACTTTCTCTATTTAAAGAATTTGGCAGGTGTTCATGAAACTTAAAAAGGTCAACATAATTCCCCAAAGGAAAGACTATTACTTCTGGGAGTCACTGTGTGACTTGGCAGTGAAAGTAAAGTATGAGTTTTCCTCTTTATTGAGAAGTAGTACTGTATTTGCATGGAAAGAGATGCTACCAAGAATGGAATAGTAAAATGCAAAGGAGTTAATTGCCCCCTGCCCCTGAAAAGCAGAGATACTTACTTCCTGCAGGTTGCTAGAATACAAATGTAACTATTAGCATTCATTACTTAGATCAACTTGTTTCCCAAGCAACTTTGATAGTTATAAATAAAACTAAAAAATGTTCAGTTAGGAAAATGGAATAAACGATAAAAATAAATGGAATGTGAATTGCTTTAGAAACCATTAATCTACATAGAAATTTATGGGGGGAAAAGAACTGGGCATCTTGTTTAAGGACTTTATGTATTAAAATCTTTCATTTCCAAGAGAGACGTCCAAGTTTACATTTAATATAAAATAAAATTTGAGTTGCTCATACATAGAAGGACAAATACATTTTTTGGCAAGTACTTACTATTTTTAGTATGTCATTATGTATACGAAATGAGCAGACTAATCCTGCAATAAATCATGGTTTTAGATACTGCAGAGAAACTTTCAGACCAAGCACTGAAAGTGAGCTGCTCAATTACAATGTCATAAAATGTGGCAAAAATGTCTGCCCCAGAATTTGCGGATTTTGTAGAACTTGATTTTAAGGAAAGAAATTAAGAGAAAGTAGAAAGGCAATGACCTAAACTATCTGAACAGTGAGCTGAAGAATTTGTACTCGTTTTGGTCTGCAAAAGCAGAAGTATCTAAGGACACAGAGTAACATTTCTGAAAATGCTGTCACCAATTCTGAAAGAAAACACCAAGCAGTATTACCTTTGGCTACATCAGTGGCCCAAGTCATAATGTGATCCATATCCATCTCTTCACTCCTATTGCTGTTGATGTAGTCATAGAGTGATCCCAGAGAAGCATATTCTATTTCAAAAGGAAAGATAAGCGCATAATTAAAACCAAAGTACATTTCAGCAATTAGACTTTACATTTTCATCAAGAAAATATATTTTAACCTAACATCAAAAAAATTAAATTACATAAAATTATTAAATGCTGTCATTTCTAAAAGTTAGTAACATTCTGGAAAAAAAATCTGTCAAAGACAAGATCACTGACATAGAATGAATAATAATCTTTAGTCCAGAATCAGAAGTCATTTATCTGGAACTCAAAACACAAGAAGGTGTTGGAAAAATATATTTGAAACAAAGGTGTATATATAAACAAGCATTTCTTTAAAGGCTGTTATTCCTATGAGATGGACAATATCTAACACATAAAACAGAGAGCTTATGTTACAATGTCAACAAATCAATCCTTGTTGCATCCGGATTTAGAGGAGCTCTCAAAATTTAGGCACAAAAGGTCAAGAAAGTGATAGATTTAAAATGACCACGTGTAAGTATAAACTATACATATAAAGTTACTGGCAAAAATGTATGATTTGATGATTTTTAGTAAATTCAGAGTTGGCTGACCATTATCACAATCCAAATAGTTCCCCAATGCCACTTTAGAATTGCAGGATCATATGGTAAGTTTGTCTTTAACTTCTCTAAGACTATCAAATTGCTTTCTAAAAAAGCTGTACCACTTTATAGTACCTCTAAAAACGAAGATTTCAGGTTCTCTACATCTTTGTCTATGCTTGGTGTCTTTTTTGTTGTGGCCATTCTCCTGTTTAATTCTAGTGGTATCTTGCTTTTAGTTTGCATTTCCCTAGTAACTAATAAAGTTGAACATCTTTTACTATTAGCCCATTATGAAGGTTATTAAGCAAAATATCTACTTAGATCTTTTGCTCATCTATAAATTGGGTTGTTTTATTGAATTCTAAGAGTTCTTTTTTTCTACATACAAGTCCTTTATCAGATATACAATTTGCAAACTTCATTCAATCTGTCGCTTTTCATTCCCTTAAGAGCGGAATTTTCTAGTTCTTATGAATCCCAATTTACTGATTTTTCTTTTATGGGCTTGCACTTTGTATCATATTTAAGAATGACTAATCCAAAGCCATGAAGTTTCTCCTCTATTTTTCTTCTATAAGCTTTAGAGGTTTAGTATTTACACTTAGGTCTATAATCAGTTTTGAGTTAATTTTTGTGTATGGTATGAAGTTGGATCCTTGTAACCTTGCTAAATATGTATGTTAGTCTTAGTATTTTTTTGTGAATTCTTTAGGATTTTCTAAATACAGGAATACAGAATGTCATAAAAGTTTTACTTCTTTCTTTCCCATCTGGATGCCTTTTATTTCTTGTTCCTGCCTGATTGGACTAAAACCTTTAGTACCACACTGAATACACTGTGATCAGAGAGGAACCTGGTTTTATTTTCAGTCTTGGGGAAAACATGAAACTTTTCACCACTAAGTATGATTTAATTAAATTAATTAATTAATTTCTTTGAGACAGGGTCTCACTACATAGTTTAGGCTAGCCTCGAACTTGCAGTGATCTTCCTGCCTCAGCCTCCCTAGTACTGGGGACTTTAGTACAATTCACCACCATGCCAGACTTTACTACAATTTTAAATGTAGATTTTTGTAGAAAAATTGCTATTTATCAAGTTGAGAAAAAGCCCTCTACTCCTGGTCTGTTAAACCTTTTCACTGTCATTGGGTATTGTCTGTCAAATTCTTATTCTGCATCTTAAAATAGCTTTTATTTTTTTAAAATAGTGATATAAAATTTTTTCTTTTTATTCTATTATCTATTACAGTGCCTTACATGAACTGATTTCAAATGTTAAACCACTCTTGCAATTTCAGAAGATATTTCATTAGGTGGTAGGCTTTTCTTTATGGAAATATTTAAAATTATAATTTCAACAATCTTTTTCTTATAGGTCTATTCAGCTTTTATTTTTTTAAAGTCAGTTTTGATGATTTGTGTATTTTTAAAAATTTGTTCACTGCATCTAAATTTTCTATTTGCTAATAATGAGGCTGGTCACAACAGTCCCTGATTTTGTGTGGGGAAGCACTGGGGATTGAACCCAGGACATTCACACTGAGCTACAGCCTCAGCCATTTTCTAAGTTTTCAATTCTGAGACAGGCTCTCACTGAGTTGGCAAAGTTGCCCAGGCTGAGTTCAAAGTTACATTCCTCCTTCAGCATTACAGAATGCTGGGATTACAGTCACAGGGCACTGCACCAAACTCTTGATAATCCTTTAAAACTTCTGTAGGAGTCATGGCACTGTCCTCTCTTTTGCTCCTGACTGCTAATGTGTACTTCTGTCTTTTCTGTCAGTCTAGGTAAAGAGTTGTTAATTTTGTTCATCTTTATAAAGACCAATCTTTTCATTGATTTTTCTGTTTCGTTGAGTTCTAATTCTTACTATTTCCTTCTGCTGAATTACTTTGTTTACATTTTGTTCTTTGTGTAGTTTCTTCAAGGTTGAAGAAGGTTAAGCTATCAACATCCGATCTGTCTTCTTTTTTAGGGGCTGAAAGCAATAAATCTCCCTTTTGGTGCTGCTTCATCTATACTTTTACATTTTGCCTCCTTTCAGTTGAAAATATTATAAGCCCACTGTGATTTCTGTCTTGACCTGAAAAACATACACTGTATGATAAAATCTTTTCAAGGTACTGAAACTTATTTCATGGCTAATTTATGCTGTATTCTCAAAAAGAATTCATATATACTTGAAAAAAACATTCTCTGTTCAGTGATGAGCCCTATATCTGTGATTTAGGTAGTAAGCTGAAAGTATTCTCCAAGTGTTCTATGCCTGTGCTGATTCTATCTAGTTTTGCTATCAATTACTGTATTTTTTTGTTTTTTGTTTTTTTCCGGTACCAGGAATTGAACTTACAACCTTGTGCTTGCCAGGCAGGCGCTGTGCCGCTGAGCTAAATCCCCAGCCCTCAATTACTGTACTGAGAAGAGGACTGAAACCAGTTTCTGTTGTCTGTTTCTCTTTTTAATTCAGTCAGTTTCTGCTTCACATACTTTGAAGACCTGTTGTTAGGTATATATGCTTTACAATTACTATAAGTTCCCGAAACATTGATCTCTTTATCGTAACAAAATGGCTAAACTTCTCTCTAGTAATAGTCCTTAAGTCTATTTTGTCTGAAATGAATACAGTTGCTGCAGTTCTCTAACATCACTGTCTGCATGGTACGTCTTTCTTTACCCTTTTACTCTCAAACTGTTTGTGCCTCTGAATCTAAGATATGTCTGTTGTAGACAGTTTAGTTGAATCTTGGTTTTTTTATTCAGCCTGACAATCTCTGCTTTTTGACTGGCATGTTAAGACCATTCATATTTAATGTAATTATTGATTTAGTGGGGTTTATATTTGCTATCTTATTTTCTACATATGTCTCTTCCTCAGTCTGCTGCTCTTCCTTAACACTCTCTTTTCTGCTAATCTTTTTAGAAGGCGAGAGATTTATATGATCTGAAGAGAAACCAGGGTATTGTTAATCTTTTTAATGTATCATTTTAGTCCCTTGGTCAGTTTTTTACTGTAATTCCCTGGTCATTTTTTTTTTTTTTTTTTACTGTATTTGAATGACTTTTTCAGGGATGACTCAAGGAATTTAAAATGCATCTTACCGCACAATCACCTCAGGTTAATACTAATATAAAATATAAAAATTTTATACACACTTTTCCCAATATAACTTCTCTCTCCTCATCTTTTATACCATGGTTGTGATATATTGTATTTGTATCTGTTTTAAAGTCAATATAAAATTTATTGCTTTGTAAAGTTTTGTGTTTTTAAAAATACTGTGAGAATAATATATTTAAGGAATTTTTCATATTAAGTCATATATTTCCCATTTCCTATTCCAATTATTTCTTTGTATGGATTTTAATTATCTTGTGTCATTTCACTTCAGTCTGAAGTACACCCTCAGCCCAGCATTCTTGTAAAGAAGATCTTATAAAGCAGGACTATCCAAGAATAGCTTTGTTTTTATTTCATTTTTAAAAGATACTTTTGCTGCACATCTTTTTCTTTTAGCACTTTAAATACCATTATTGGCTTTCGGCCTCTGTTACTGTAGGTGAGATATCAGCCCCTGATCATACTACTGGTCCATTGTGTATGAGGACTTATTTTTCTCTTGTGTTGTCAAGACTGCTTGTCTTTAGCTGCCATTAAATCACTCTAGAAAAATTTCCATTTCAATTATTCTTTTTCACCTCCAGGATGTCCACTGGGTCCTTTACAAAAATAATAATAATTTCTACCTACTTAAGACTCTCTATTGGTTGAGTCACTGTTTTCATATTTTCCTTTAATTCTTTGAACATAGTATGCTTTACTTCTTTCACCCTGCTGCTTGGTAGCTGGGCATGGTGGTGCACATCTGTAATCCCAGCACTCAGGAGGCTGAGGCAGGAAGATCATTGCAAGTTTGTGACCAGCCTGGGCTACAAAGTGAGCTCAAGGCCAGCCTGAACTGCATAGTGAGACCCTGTCTCAAAAACAAAACAAAACAAAACAAAAAAATGACAACCTGTTATTTGGAAATTTATGTCTGTTAACAACTGGGTATAACAGGGATTATTCTAACAGCTTTTCTTCTTGAACATAGGTATATATTCCTATTTCATCACGTTTCATTTCCTATAATTGGACAGCTTAGATAATGTATTATGGAAACTTTGAATTCTCACTTTACCTTCAAAGGCTGTTCTTGATTTTGCTTAATAACTTGCTAAATTTATTAAATCTGCCACTCCCTCTGTCCCCAGTGATATCTTTGCTCAGTTTTTTTTTTTTCTAAAATATTGCTTCTATTTAAAAATCTAGCCTTTTAGAGGCTATCCTATATTTGCACAGATTACTGATCAGCCAGTGGTTAGGAAGATGTTATGCTCAAGTATCCCAGGCTGATGGATCCACCTGTAAGCAGCAGGAACACATTCAAATTGTAGGTTTTTTCAAG